AACAACAGGTGTCTACTGTAGTTTCCCTGAAAGACTCCTCAGCCAGGTCCAAGGTAAGCGCCTTTCCGGGCTCCAGGCTCTGGAATTCTCATTCCATTCAGCTGTCCTCCCTGGCCCCGAGCCCTGTGTTGACTCCTCACTGCTCATTACCTCATCGTCCACCAGGCCCAGATCTAGCCTCCCATCTGCTGGGGGCCACCGGGCAGTGAAATCAGGTTACTTTCTGCCTGTAACCGGGCAGGGCAGCTCTTTTAGAAGGGCCCACAGAGGCCCTGCTGTTCGTTTGCTGGTCCTTCGTCCTCCTTGGCAGCTGCTGGCTGGCCAGCCTTTCAGGTGCACCCTGGAGACTTGCCCAAATTCAGTTCGCATTTCCCTTTTTCCTCCTTTGTTGAGGTGATCGTTAGCACAACTCTTTTGTCCTGTTGGGGAGGAAGGGGACCGTCCAGCAGAAGGTGAGGTGATCCTACTCACATTGTTTGCTCAGGTCTTATTTTGCGAGATCTGATTGAGGGCATGTTTGGGCTAAACCGTGACTACATGTAGTCACATTTGCCATGCCTGTGCTTAGGGGCTCCTGGGGTCCTTCTCTTCCACTTTGGAGTTACATCCTTTCTGTTTCCTCTCTGGCCTGCCCAGAGTCTCAAGTTTCCTTCCTCCCCACGGTCTTCTGACTTTTATGCTTGCCAGGAGTGAGCTGTGTTCTGAAGGAGACCCTCTTCTGAGAGAAGCCTAGTTCCCTGCTGTCAGGTTTGGACTCTTCCTGAAAGTATCTGCTCCAGGGAGTGGTTTGAAATTGGAGCCCGTGTTCTTCTCCACCCTGTGTGCCTCCTAGTGTGTTGTAGAACGGACAGCTTTGCCTGGGACCCAGCCCTCTGAGCTGTGGGAAAGTGGTTAGTGGTTCAGGATCTAGTCAGTAGCACAAATTCCTCCTGGAGAACAGCAGCACCCGCTGAGCGCGGTGATGCTATACGCCAGCTCTGACTTGGAAGGGACACTAGGGGCTGGATTTGTAAATCATGTCTCTTCGTCATTTGTGCAACAGGCTCTGAGCAGATTGCACCGCACATCCTAGGAGAAGAGACAAAGCAAATACAATAAAAAAATGAGAATTATCACCCTTAACCTTAAGGAAGAAAATGGGAGCTAAAGAAGGAAGTGCTGAGGGTCAATGATGCTTTAAAAAAACAAAACAATTGTTTTGAAATTACAATATAATTATCTCATTTTTCCTCCACTTCCGTTAGTCCCTCTTGTGTGTCCCCCTTGTTTTCTCTCAAATTCATGGCCTCTTTTTCCTTGGTTATTGACACACACACACACACACACACACACACACACACACACACACACTCTTCAAAAAAAGCTAGAAAGTAAATTTACCATATGGCCCGACTGTAATACTCCTTGGGCTATGCCTGAAGGACGCAATATCCTTTACTTCACAGATAGTTTTTCAGCCATGTTCACTGCTACTCTATTCATAATAGCTAGGGAATGGAAACAACCTAAATGACCTTCATCTGAGGGAAGGGATGCTTCTATTTAGAGGGTCACGTTGATCCGGGAAGCCAGAACCTCCCATCTTATTAAATCCAGGCCTTGTTACCAGTTATGCCTCCTATTCCCCTCCGCTGGGAGTTTGAACTTAATGCCATTTCCCTTCAATGAGGGAAGCCTGGATAGATGGTAATTTGAATGATTAGCCTAATCTGCAGGAAGGCTGCATGTGGAATTAAGTTAAGCACGCTGTACTGAGCAGCCTTGTCTGTCAGGCCACTTAAAGGCACCTTGGTGATTTTATGCCCAAACAGAAGCTGAGGGCTCAGGAAGGATCATTGGCTTTTATTACTGTCTTAAAGGATAGTTTAGTGTTTGAATTTGACAAGGGCCCCAGAGAGTTTTCATTATAGATACCATGTGTGGAGTTGGTTTCTTAAGAAAATCCCAATACAAAACATTGCCAGGGCTGCTTCTGGTGACTATGGGAAACGGCTCCAATGGAAATTTGTCAAGCTGTGGGCTGAGGAGAACCGGTCTGAGAGGATCTGAGAACTCGGCCCTTGTTTGTCTTTGGCTGGAGGAGGAAGCTAGGTGTGCTTATACCTGGAGACGGCAACACAGGCTTTTCTTGCTTTCTTTCGGATCTATAGAATGTGCTAGAGTCACAGCGCAGCTGTACAACCACACGGAAGGTTTAGCAGCATATACTTGTAGGGTTTGGGGTCCGATATGCGTTCTGATTCAGGTTTCCTCCTTGTTCTCCTGAAGTGGTGAGATTCCCACGTGTCAAAGGGAGATGACAGGTCTCAGTGTGTTTGAGGAAGCAGACACAGGATTAAAAATTATACAAATGTATGTATGTATGTATACACCTCCATTGGCGGGCAGGGCCTTAGTATGCTAGGCTAGCACTTTAACACTGAATTGTGTCTTTACCCCACAGGATTTGAATCGTTAAAGCAATTGCAATAAAAATGTATTTACTATTTTTTCCTTAGATATCCTCTTTATTTTTCCTTTTTTAATTAATTAATTTATTTTTTATTTATATTTCCATTCAAAAATTTCCACTTCCTCCCCTCCTCCCATTCCCCTCCCACTCCCCCACTCCCCCTCCTCCCTTCCTCTTCAGTCTTGAGAGAGGGCAGGGTACCCTGCCCTGTGGGAAGTCCAAAGCCCTCCCCCCTCCATCCAGGCCTAGGAAGGTGAACATCCAAACAGACTAGGATCCCAAAAAGCCAGCACATGCAGTAGAAACAAGTCCCAGTGCCATTGTCAATGGCTTCTCAGTCAGCCCCCATTATCAGCCACATTCAGAGAGTCCGTTTTGATCACATGTTCATTCAGTCCCAGTCCAGCTGGATTTGGTGAGCTCCCATTACATCAGGCACATTGTTTCAGAGGTGGACGCACCCCTCGCTGTCCTGACTTCCTTGCTCATCTCCTCCCTACTTCTGCTCTTCAGCTGGACCTTGGGAGCTCAGTCCAGTGCTCTGATGTGAGTCTCTGTCTCTATATCCATCCATTGCTGGATGAAGGTTCTATGATGATATTCGAGATATTCATCAGTGTGACTATGGGACAGTATTTACTATTTTGAGTTAATATTTTTTAATTGCTTTTATTGAACTATATATTTTTCTCCGCTCTCCTCCCTTTCTCCTCTCCTCCCCTTCTTCCCTCTCCCATAGTCCCCACGCTCTCAGTTTACTCAGGAGACCTTATCTTTTTCTACTACCCATGTAGATTAGATCCATGTATGTTTCTCCTAGGGTCTTCTTTGTGGTCTATTCTCTGGGATTGTGAATTGTAGGCTTGTTTTCTTTACTTTATGTCTAAAAACTACTTATGAGTGAGTACATATTTTATTTGTCTTTCCGGGTCTGAGTTATCTCACTCAAAATGATGTTTTCTAGACCCATCCATTTGCCGCAAATTTCAAGATGTCATTATGTTTTTTTCTCTGCTGTGTAGTACTCTTTCCTTTTCCATTCTTCAGTTGAGGGACATTTAGGTTTTTTTTTTCTTTTTCCAGGTTTTGGCTATGACAAATAATGCTGCTGTGAAAATAGCTGAGCACATGCTCTTGTGGTATGATTGAGTATTCTTTGGGTATATACTGAAAAGTAGTATTGCTGTGTCTTGAGGTAGGATGTTTCCTAATTTGCTGAGAAATTGCCATACTTATATCCAGAGGGGCTGTACCAGTTTGCACTCCCATCAACAATACAGGAGTGTTCCTTTTACCCCACATCCTCTCAGCATAAGTTGTCATCAGTGTTTTTGATCTTGGCCATTTTTACAGGTGTAAGATGGAATCTCAGAGTTGTTTTGATTTGCATTTCTCTAATGACTAAGAATGTTGAACATTTCCTTAAGCGTCATTTTACATTCATCTGTTGAAAGTTCTCTGTTTAGGTCTGTACTCCATTTTTAAAATTGGATTATTTGTTCTTTTAATGACGAATTTCTTGAGTTCTTTGTATATTTTGGAGATCAACCCTCTGTCTGATGTGGGGTTGGTGAAGATCTTTTCGTATTCTGTAGGCTGTCGTTTTGTCTTGTTGACTGTGTCCTTTGCTTTACAGAAACTTTTCTGTTTCAGGAGGTCCCATTTATTAATTGTTTCTCAGTGTATGTGCTACTGGGGTTATATTTAGGAAGTGATATTCTGTGCCAATGTGTTCAAGTGTACTTCCCACTTTCTCTTCTATGAGGTTCAATGTGGTTGGTTTTATGTTGAGGTCTTTGATCCATTTGGACTTGAGTTTTGTGTATGGTGATAGATATGGGCCTATTTTCATTCTTCTACATGTTGATATCAAATTATGCCAGCACCATTTGTTAAATATGCTTTCTTTTTTTCATTTGATATTTTTTGCTTCTTTGTCAAAAATTAGGTGTTTGTTGGTGTGTGGATTGATATCTGGGTCTTCAATTTGGTTCCATTGGTCCTCCTGTCTGTTCTTATGCCAGTACCAGGCTGTTTTCAGCATTCTAGCTCTGTAGTAGAGTTTGAAGTCAGGGATTGTGATGCCTCCAGAGGTTCCTTTATTGCACAGGATTGTTTTGGCTGTCCTGTGTCTTTTGCTTTTCCATATGAAGTTGAGTGTCATTCTTTTGAGATCTGTGAAGAATTTTGCTAGGATTTTAATGGGCATTGTATTGAATCTGTAGATTGCTTTTGGTTAAGACTGCCATTTTTACTGTGTTAATTCTGCCTACCCAAGAGCATGGGAGATCATTCCATTTTCTGGTGTCTTCTTCAATTTCTTTCTTCAAAGATTTAAAGTTCTTTTCATACAGGTCTTCCACTTGTTTGGTTAGAGTTTCTCTGAGATATTTTATGTTATTTGTGGCTATTGTGAAGTTAACATTTCTTTCATGAAATGGTCTCAGGAACAAACCTTGCTAAGTATACACAGAAGGGCTTAAAAGGGTAATAATTAGGAAGGCCAATTTAATTTCAATAATTTCTTTTTTCCTGTTTTTCTTTTTAGATTTGTCTTCGGCAAAGCGGAAGTTTGCAGATTCCTTAAATGAATTTAAATTTCAGTGTATAGGAGATGCAGAAACTGATGATGAGATGTGTATAGGTAAGTCACGCCCTCGTGGGAGACAGAAACATTCCAGCAAGCCTTCTCTGGGACTAGGAGGCCTGTTAGTAAGGAATCCAGTGAGCAGGGAAGGCACAGATAGGAAGGTCAGGGCGGGTCTCCTCCTTGCATTGACCCCACTGTCTGTCCAGTGGCAGGCAGGAGGAAGCTGGGAGTTTTGTGATGGCGTTCTGGTCCACCTTCCTACAGTGTCCTGCCTAGCTTCGTGACACTCTCCTTTTTTCCCCTTAACCCAGACACAAGTTCTTAGACTAAGAACCTAAGAGTGAATGCAGATGGTAAAGAGAATTGGGTCAGGGTTGTGCAGCGTTAGCTGATGGACTGAGATGAGAATGTTGCTATGTTTTACTTGACTTTTTATTTTAAACTGAATTACCACGTAAGTTGAACTTATCTCAAGTTCTCATTTGTTTGTTTCTTTCTAAAATTTCACAAATTTGTTCTGTTGGCCTTCCATTTTGGCCTGGTAACAGTTGGCTGGAGCCATGCGACTGTCACCACCTGCAGAGCAGAAACAGGACTCAGTCACTAGCTCCCTGTGTCTCCACCTCTCTCTCCTTTAATTCCCTTACTGAGAGGTGGAGGTGAGCTCCCACCTAGCACCATGCTGTACTGCTTCCCTCTTTGCTGTCCCCTGCTCTCTTCCATAGGGAGCTCTGAGCACAGAACATTGGTGCAGCCAAGACTCACCACTTGCTCGGGGCTCATAGTCTGGTTTTTTTTTTCCTTCTTATATTGGGCGTCTTGGTTGATGCCATAAAAGGAGGAAGAACTAAGAAGAGTTGGAGCTGGGATTGTAGCCCCAATGATAGAGCACGTACTTAGTGTATGTGAGGGGCTGGGTTCAATGTCCAATACCAAAGCAATAACAAGAATTGGGAAAGTTAAGGTTGTTCAAATGATTTTGAGTCTGTTGCCAGGCAGAACACCAGGATCTGGGTATGAGCAAAGACATCTGGGAAGTAGCTGAGAGCAACGAAAATGTGTCGTTGTTGTAAGTCATGATGCTTTTCTGGCATTGCCCAAGTATCCTGTTGCCTTAGTGAAAGTTTCTGGCAAAGACCATCTGTGTTAGCCTGCCGTGCTGCAGGCTGCATTCTATTGCAGAGTGGCTTCAGAACTCAGGGAGAAGGAACCCAAGGAGATGCCAGAGATGTGGCTTCTGGTGCCCGCAGGACTATTTGTTTCGTTGTCGTGCCAAAGCAAAGGCTGGATTCTGATGCAGCCTAGCAACAAAGATTGAAGAGGTTGAATCCTGGACAGGAAATCCTTCTGCTCCTTAGTGGAACTCTGCCCCTTCCAGCCTCAGGGCTGGGAGCCTGCCAGCACCTCAGCAGTCCTGGGAACTCTCAGGAATAGGCGGGTCTTTTCCTTGGAGAGATCCTCTAGTTGGTGTTCCAGGAGCAATTAACCTGCGTTTTTGGGTCATCCTGTCTTTCGTGGTTAATGATTAAAAGATGAGGGAATCTGAAGACAGCAGTTGACTCTGGGCATCCGTGTGCATAAGGAATTGAAATCAGTAAGTTGCTTTAGCACACCCGTCATTTTGCTTTCAGTTCATGGCTTCTTTCTTTCTCTCTTCCAGCGAGATCTTTGCAAGAATTTGCCACTGTTCTCAGGAATCTTGAAGATGAGCGGAGTCGCATGGTGAGTATCTTATGCTGTTCTTGGTCCCAGGCAGTCTACATGCACTGAGAGAGCAAAGACCCAGGTTTAAGTCGAGACTACCTCTGGGGTATTCTGAGGCTGTGAACCCTTGCAGAATTTGATGTTTTCTCTGAGTGTTAAAGAATTACCAGCGCAAAACTTTGGAAGAGGACCATTGTTCTCAAGATTCACTGTAGGTCTGAGGAGATCGTTTAGTCAGTAAGGCCCTTGCTGCAGTAAACCCGAGGACCCGAGTTCAGATCCCCAGCACCCATGTAACAAACAGGATTCAGTGGTACATGTCTGTAATCGCTAGGGTTTGCTGACTAGTCAGTCTGTCCAAATTGGTGAGTCCTGAGTTCATTATAAGACTGTTTCAAAAAGTAAGGTGGAAAAGCAGGCAAATAACCAAGGAATAACATTGATGTCAACCTTTGGCACCCATGCACATACAAAGAAGCATGTACATGTGCACGCACGCACGCATGACTTTAGGGTAGTGCTTTCGGCTTTGTTAACTTTTCGGAATCTGGTTGAAAAAGAAGGCATGTGTCCCAGTCTGCTTTTCCAAGCTTCATTAAACTCATCCAGTGGTCATTCAGGGAAGGCATCGCCGCTTCACTCTGGCCCCAAGGCACCTGCCACGTAGCTGGCAGTCAGAATATGCATTCTGGCAAAGAAACGTGGCTGTGGGAGCACCTCAGAAAGAGTCTGCAAATTCAAGAAGCCGATGCTGACCTGTAGGTTCCAAGTCAGTGCTTTCAAACCGGCATCTGCTGTCGTTAGTGGGTGGGGTCCTTTTGTGCTTCCCACGTCTCCCAGGTAGCAGGAGGGAAGTTTGATCAGAGGCCCCCAGCAGGCTTCACACTGGCTTGTACTTGGGGTGGGGGTCGGGGCTCATCTCCAGGTAGGCAGTCCCAGAAGGATGCCAAAATCAGAGCATGTGTGTGCAGCCAGAGCCTGACCTGTTCTCCGTAGCTCCTGTGATAGCCGTGACGTCCCCTCTGCTCCTCCCAGTTTTCCAGATGAAGATACTGAGGTTCACAGGGGCCACCTTGTGTCCAGGCTCTCATGGTTGATAGGCTGTGCGGTTTCGATTCAAACCCAAATTGACATTACACCAAAAGATGTGGGAATTTCTTTAAAATTCTCAAGAGGACAGAAGCCCCCACACCTTTGCCTGGCAGAGACCCCCCCCCCCCCACTACTGACTGCTGCTCACTTGAGCACTAACTGGAGCACTAGCGGCAGTGGCAGGGCCGGGGAAAGAGTGAGTGTGCACATGCTAGTGCCCTAGAAAGGGACATGGTTCTTCTGAGTCTGCCTCAGGGTCATGTCAATATTTGGGGGCGGGAGTATGGTCAGCAAATCACCATGAATACCCTGCAAATTGCTGTGGCCTGCGGTAGGGGAACAATGACTGGATTATGCTCTCTTCAGCTCGCCTCTGCAATTTTATTATTACTCTTTGCTGTCTGCTTCTGAGTTTCTGGCCATCACAAGCCGCTTCCCACCGTGCTCACCGTGGGACAGCTTTATCATCAGTTCGGCTCGGCTCAGCTCAGCGAAGCTGTGCCGTTTTGGAGGAGCCATGGTTGTGGGATATTTTGCCGTCCATTGTGTTTTCTGAACATTTGGTTCATTCCTCAGACTCTGCATGTATCACTTGTGTCTGGACAGTCACTGTGGGCTAGCAAATATGAGTTCCTTGAGGGTAGAGAGTGGCGTCTGTGCTCTACTGTTAGTCCAGTTCCTCCTTACTGTGCTTTGAGAGGTGAGAACACAGGTCTTGTTGAGGCTGATGGTACTGGGTTGAGGACCGGTTGTCCTGCTCCCCATGAGAACACCCGAGCACTAGCATTCCGAGTCTCCTTAGTGCTAGCATCTCAGCATGGGGTACCTGCTGGGATAACTTGAGGGACTTCACAAACACCGATGTCTGGGATCAGGACCAGAGATTGAGTTATTGGTCTAAAGCATGGCCTGACTACCGAGGTTTGTAAAGCTCCCCTGGGGATTCTCATGCGCAGCTGAGGTTGGGAACTGCTCGTCAACTGGCTCAGCACACCTTTGTGACCTCCGGAAACTTGTAGTTGATGTATGGGCTAGACCTACATAAGCTAAGTAAACAGTACCAGTTAGCAATAAAAATCAACTAAGTTCGCTACTGTTACCACACTGCAGTGTTAAAAAATGTACTCTGTAGAAGTGAGTGCTTTCAAAATTAAGAAACACGCACATGGGAATAAATGTGGAGAGCCACTCCTTCCTGCCCCTCACGTTGTCCAGGCAGTTCTTTACTGTGTCCACCAAGAGCCTCTGGCATTTTCTGTGTTGTTGCCATTGTGAAGGGCAAGCATATGATTTAGAGAAAATAATGCTTTGTTGAAGGGAGATTCCTGAAATAATCAGTTGAGAGAAGCATGAGCAATGAGTGAAGACCGTAAAATATTGCGCTGCTTTTGAAAGGACTGTAGAATCTTAGAGCCAGAGCAATGCAGCCCCCTCATTTTTCTGGATTAGAAAATTAGAGTCCAGAGAATTTAAATGTTTTGTTCATGGTCACACACTTGGCAGCTTGTCTGGGGGTCACTCATTCACTCATTGGGTCATTCAGAAGTGTTTGAGTGTGCCCTTGTTTCTGACTTCTTTGTTGCTTTGGGAACACTGGGGGACGAGCAAGCCTTTTCAGGGCTGGCGTGTGTGTTGGTAGATAGTTCTGAGCCAGAAAACTACCTGGCCTCTGAGCTCTGAAAGGCTTCTGGACAGCTTGTCTGAATTACAGCTCTGGAGGTCTGGGAAGGCCTCCACAGAGAAGTGACCTTTAAACTGAGACCTTGATTATAAACTGTCCAAGTGCGTCAGAGAGAAGAGCCAGAGACAAGGGTCCAAGGTAGGACAGATTTGGTACATTCCAGGTAGGTTGGTGTGACAGGGAATCGGAGTGTGGGAACTGATGGCTGGGCCCTGTACAATGCAGCTGGGAGGCAGCCAGTGGTCAAGAGGCAGAGGTCCCAGCTCCAGTTAATTCCCTAAGAAACCCATCAGGCGTGAAAGGTCTTTTCCATAGATGTCCGAAGGTGTTTTAGATTTTAATCGAGACTCCATGTTGATGTACTTTGCTTGGGTGAATACCGAACTTATGCCACCTGAAGCTTGAAGCTTAGACGGCCTCTGACCCCAGGTCCCTGCACCCTGTAGTGGTTGTCTACTCTTTAGATTCACTTCTTCTAGAGCTCAGAAGGCTGAGGTTTAGAGGACTGTAATGCCCAGGCTGTCCTGGGCTACACAGTGAGACTCACTCTCCAACAACAGCAAACTCTCCTCGCGAGGAAGGTCCCATTAGGAGTTTCTGAGCGGATTCTCTCTTAGAGCTATTACACAGTGGCACATGGACTGGGGTTTCATTTGGAGGCCAGAGGGAGCATTTGTGGAAGAGCTGCTGTACTTCACTGCTAATCTCTACTTTTCTTCCCCAGATTGAGAACGCCAGTGACGTGCTCATCACACCCTTGGAGAAGTTTCGAAAGGAGCAGATCGGGGCTGCCAGGGTGAGGATTTTGCAAACTTTGTTTTGCCCTTTAGGATGGAGTCTGAAGACAGCAGCACTTCCTCCAGGTCCAGCTCAGCTCCCCTGCCTTTTACAAGAGGCTGAAGTGCAGGCCGCCTGTGGCCACATCAGCAGCCATCCCAGTGTTTTGTTGTCTGATCGTTGGGTGCTAATTCATAAACCACTCAAGGTAGAGGTGTTGCCTCTTTGTGTTAGGTGGCTGTGTGCTTGGACAGTGGACTGACTGGTTGGCCTACTCATTTTTGTGTCATTGTGAGTGGGGTGGGGAGAACCAAAACTACATTTAAGCAGAGTTATGAACTAGGCTTTGGGGACACAGGGACTTCTTATAAGCCTCATTAAACTAAGTATATTTACTTATTGTGTGTGTGTGCGCGTGTTTGTGTGTATTTGTATGTTTGCATGTGTGCACACACGCGCGCGCGCGCACACACACACACACACACACACACACCCACACACACACCAATAGTGCTCATGTGAAAGTCTGAGAACAGCTTTCACCATTTGGGACCCAGAAACTGAATTCAGATCATCAGGTCAGTGATGAGCACTTATTAACAGTTGATCTATCTTGCCGGCTCTCAGCTCATTTTTTGTTATGTGTAGAAATGAGCCTGCCTTTGTTAGATAATTCAATTCTTCGAGAGAAACTGAAAATTCAGAGACTTATGAGAGATTTCCAGTGAGTAAATATTTTAAGAACACACATATCCTTAATCTAGGCCAGACTCAACTGCATGCATGCTTTAGCCCAGAGGTCACCATTTGTGACTGACCTTGAGGCATTGAGACCAAACAGCTAATTCATTCATTCACTCATTCGTTTTCCTTCTTTCTAATTTAAATTTTTATTGAAAGTAGATTTTTTTATACATTTTAGTCTGACATGGTTTTTCCTTCCCCAACTCCTACCAGATTTTCCCTATATCTCCACCCACGCAAATTATGACTTTTTCTCTTTCTCTTTTAAAAAACAAATAGTCAACTAAAAAAAAAAAAAACCAGCTTCCCCTAAAACCAAAAACAAACAAACCAGAATAGGACAAAACAAACAGGAGAAGAAGCCAAAGAAACACAAGAAACACACACACACACACACACAGAAATCTCATAAAAACTCAAAATCAGAAACCGTATTATATCAACAACTTATAAGGTCAAAAAACTGATGAGACAAAGCACCATGAGACAAAAGCCTCCAGAAGGACCATTGCATTTCTTCTGTGCTGCCCATCACTGCTGTGCACCCCCGACTTTATGTGTGGTTTGTGTACCCAGGGAATGTGTTACTAGAAGAGGGCTGAGGGAAGCCTGTTCCCTTGTCTGGAGTTAAGTCACTAACTAAACTAGCAGAGTGTTAAAGGCCCTGCAGGGGAGATGTTTTCATCCTAAGGTAGCAAGAGGCTTCTGTCCCATATTTTCCGGACATTCTAGAGCTGAATGAATTCAAACGCAGCCCCTTGAATCATCCACGGGGGGTGGGGGTGGGAGAGTGAGGCAATTCCATGCTTTCTGTAGGTTTAACTTTGGAAACTGTCCTGGAGAAGTCCTATACGACTAAGCTTCTTTGCCTCCCTGCCTTCCAGCTGCTTTTTAGAAATAGACATGCCTACTAAAAAGGATAATGCTTGGTTAAAGCTTTCAGAGGGCTGCTTAGCCTTACTTTGAAGGGAAGACCATGGAAGGGTTTTTCTCCTTAGTTTACAGCAGATTTGTAACCATTTCAGTTTACATTTAGGAAGAAAAGTATGTATTGCTTCTGTTCCAGAGATGCAGGAGCATGTAATTGGAAGGAAGTCTTCTACTAAGACTCTTGCCCACCACCACGCCTCCTGTAATATCCAAGACTATATGGCTAGCAATTCTCTTAGTGGTCCAGCAAGTCACCTTCTCTTGCATGGCCTGGGCCTGTGTGTTCCTCTGTTCAGACACCTACCGCAGAGGTTCTGACCTGCCTGTCATCCTTACTGTAGCTGCTTCTAATGGAAAGCACAGACACCCTCCCACTCTGGCCCTCCTCTGTATTGTTTTGGGAGTTACCATAGTTACTGGGGAGGAGCAGTACAGCTCCCTCTGGGTTTACCACAGTGATCCCGTGACAGGGTCATGCACCTTTGCCTACAGGTGGGATGTGTGTCACTGCTTTAAGCTTTCCCCCAGGCAAATCGTTAATGATTCATTTTGGTACTTGAGGTGATTTCTCATCCCTCCTCCTTTGTCATTTCTTGTTTTCTTTCCCAGTGTACCCCCCTCTCAACCCACCCATACATTCATATCATAGTAGTATGTGAATTTGAGAGAACGCCTACAAAGCTTAAAGGCAACCCAGGGAGTCGCCTCAGAGACACCCAAGGAGCCAGTGGGGCTCTTCGCCTGTTTTGGGTGGCCCGGAGCTTGTTCCTGAATTCTGCGTATCTGATGCTAAAATTATTTTTTTCCCTCCTGCCTCTCTTCTCTGCTGCTGCTTTGGTTGCCATAACAACCTGTTGCACAGGGGTCCAGGAAGGGGAGTTTGTCTTAGATTCTTTTTGCTGTTGCTGTTGTGATCAAATGCTTCAGACAAAGGAGCTTAAGGAAGAAAGGGTTCATTTCAGCTCGCAGTTCCAGGAGACAGTGCATCATGAGTCACAGTGCGAAGAGCTTGAGGCTACTGATCACATCACATCCCCAGCCAAGGGACAGAGCAACGTGTGCCTGCTTCTCCTTGGGTCCTCTCTCCATACAGTGCAGGATCCTAGTCTGACTGGTGCCTCCTCCAGTGGGAGAGTTTCCCCCCTCGGTTCACACAGTCAAGATAATCCCCCATAGGTATGTTGAAGCCTGTCGCGGGTGATTCCAGATTTTGTCAAGTTGACAACTGCGCTAACCACAACAGGGCCTTTGGGTATTCTTGTGCTAGAGGCCACTCAGGAATAAAGTGTAACCCCCAGGAATAAAGTGTGACCCCCAGATCTTGTCGTAACTGTGGCCCTAAGTCTATACTTCTGAACTGAGCAAGTTGGCCTTTTCTACACAGGAGGCAGAGCGGCAGTGCTGTGCTCTGTAGCGAAAGCAGGACAGACATCTGAGAGTAGTGGGTCGGCATGGGTCTAGGGCGAGGCTGCGTGTCCCAGATCTACTGTGTGCAGCTTTAGAAGTGGAGGCTTCTGAAGCTCCATGTCCCGATTTCCTCATCTTCAAAAGGGGACAATGAAACTTTTCCCCATAGAGTGCTCAAGAATAAATGAGTGAATCCATATGAGGCACTTAAGGTAGTGTGTGTCCCACGACTGTTTGAACAGAAGGACAGTGCTTGTCATTTCGTCATTCTTCTGTGGTTATGACATTAGGTCGCACAGATCATTAAGAGTATATGGGAAGGGCTGAAGAGATGGCTCAGTGGATAAGTGTGCATTTTGCTTTTGTAGACGACCTGAGTTTCATTCTAGGACCCATATTGGGCTGCTCACAGCTGTTTATAATTCAGGGTATCTGTTGCCTGCCTCTGTCCTCTACGGGCACCTAGTCACATGTATAAACACACACACACACAGAGTTAAAAATAAAAAAAACCCCATAAAATATATATGAGAGCCCTGCACTATATTCTGTAGTCAGGGTTAGTGGATGACAAGCAGATATGGTTGCCCTGGCTGAGAGGAGAGCATTAGACACAAAACTATAACAATACCTGGTTCCAAACTGTGGTACATGCTTCGGGAGGGTTGTCTTCATCAAGTTGACACTTGCAAGTCAAAAGTTGCATTTGATGAAAAGAAGTGGTTGCAGATGGCAAGTACCTTATCACCATTAGCACTACCACAGCTGTCACCGTTTCCATCATTCCTGTCACCATCAGCAGTGACAGTAGCAGTAGCGACCCCCCACTCCCACCAGCATTATCACCACCATTGCTGCAGTTATCACCGTTTCCACATTGCCCAGAGTTTCAGTTGCTGGGATAAGGCCCCATGGCCAAAAGCAAGTTGAGGAGGAAAGGGCTTCGTTACCTTCTACTTCAGAGGATATCACCAAGGAAAGGATATCCAATATCAGGGTAGGAACTCAAGGCAGGAACCTGGAGGCAGGAACTGAAGCAGAAGCCATGGAAGAACACTGCTTACTGGCTTGCTCCTCACGGCTTGCTCTCCTTGCTTTCTTATAGTACCTAGGACTACCAGCTCAGGAGTGACAGCGCCCCCAACAGTGACTAAGCCTTTCACATCAATCGATCAATAAAATGTTCTTCAACCCAATATGGTGGGGACATTTTATCAGTTGAGGTTCTCTTTTCACTTATACCAAGTTGACATAAAACGTGCCAGCACAGCCATTATCACCTCTACCATCATCACCACCACTGCTGCCACCATTATCACAAACACCACCACCATATGGTGACAGTGACTGCTTCCTCCAGCACCATGGGGCTGCTACCTGTACTACCAGTGGCCTCTGTCACCACAGTTGTCACCCCCTCACCAGTATTCCCATCCCTGGAATATACTGCGTGTTGTCCATGCGGCAGCTGCTTTGCTAAGTGCTCTCTGTGTTTGAACTCACTTGATCCAAGTAACTCCGTGAAGAGCAAGTGTTCTTATTTTGTCAGAGTTGTGAGCTGGAAGATGGAAGCTGAGCAATGATCTCATCTAGTCAGCCTGTGTTTGTAGGGCCTTGGAAGGTGATGGTGGTAAATGAGGCTGGAGAGAGAGCTTACCCATTAAGAGGGCATATATGTTCTCTCCGAGGACCCGAGTTCAGTTCCCAGCACCCACAACAAGCAGTTCACAACAGCCTGTAACTCCGCTTCCAGGGCATTCAGCTTCTACCTTCTGACTTCTGAGGGCACCCGTACTCACTTGCACATACCCCTACCCAGACACACAGAGATGCACCTCATAAAACACAGTATCTTCTAAAGACTGAAAGGAGAAAGCTACTAGCTGAGCACCAGCAACCCTCTCCGCTTGCTTCACTGACTCTGTGTGACCAACTGCCTCGGACGCTTAGAACCACGACTTACCGTGGGATGGCCTGTACCCCGGAACTGACTTACCGTGGGATGGACTGTACCCCGGAACTGACTTTCCCTGGGATGGGCTATACCCCTGAACTGAGCCAGATGAATCCTTTCTTCCTGAAGTTGCGTTTGTCAGCATTGTATGATAGCGTTAGACAAGGCATTGGTGAATTGCATTAAGTACGGCTCTTCCTGCGGAGGCCTTAGTGAGGTCTTGGTGCTGTTTCAGCATGGTGCTTTTTCCTTCCCTCTTTCTCTCAGCTCCCTCTTTGATTGTAGCAATTCAGTGACCATGGACTCTGGAGGCTCCAGTCCTCTAAAAGTTACAAAATGCCAGTGACTCATGCCCCCTGGCCTTTCCTAACCTTCAGCTTGTGGCCCTGCCTGACTGTAGGGTGCTCTGTGGGGTGGCTGGCCCCTAGGCTAGTGAGAGTGGATTTGTGTGATGTGAGGGAGTTGAGTGGAGTTGGAATCCAGCTTTGGGCTTATGAATTAAGGGAGAGGAGTTGCTTGCCTGGGCCTTTCTCAGACTTGGAGGGGAATGCTTCTGTGAGCCTTTCCTTGACTCACGCTTGCTTACTTCGTGGTGTGAGTATGGAGAGGATTCTAGAGCGCACTCAGATTGTAGGAATGGGTTCATGCCTGCTAAGTGTGTATATGATCATTTCTGCTCTTGGTGAGGCTTAGGAGCTTGCTCCTGACCGGAGAGATGCTGGAGCTTGATAGACCTTCTTGGCTCATAGTGTTCTGCCCGAGGATGAGTGTTCTGCCCTAGGATGCCCTAGCATTGCTGGCTGCCTGTTCTGGGCGCCTCCCCTCTGCCTCCTCAGGTGTTCACCAGGTCTCAGTTTTCATCTCTCCCCACTGAGGCCTCTCCTACGAACCCTCTGTTCTTTTTTTATTTTTTTTTTAAAACCTCTTACAGTAGTCTGTAATTATACTACTTATTTGTTTCCTGGTTAATTGTGTTTCTCTTCCCACTAGAATGTTCCCATCATGAGAGGAGGAGTCACTGCCCAGAGTAGATCCTAGGACAGAGTGATCACTAGTCCTGAGTTTGTGAGATGAATAGAGATGCCTTCCTTATCTAGCTGGAACGCCTTTCTTTTACAGGCTTTAGAGCTGCACAGAATATCTCATTTGGGCGCCAGATGAGTCAAAAGCAGGCTGACACACTGGGGTAGTGCACCCGAGCATTTGTGCTGGACTCGAGCAGCTTCCCAGCCCCGCCCACAGCGGTGTGGAGGGCAAAGAGACCGACTGCCTGTGACTGTCTCAAGTGGGCAGAGTGTGGGCTTTAAAGGCAGAGCGTGCTAGCTTGGTGTCAGCCTTGTCATTCTCTGTGACATTTTGCAAATTGCCTTCCTTCTGAGTTTTCTTACCTCTAAAATGGGGAATAAAAATAGAACCTTGGTGACTCAAGAGCTCGGTGGGAGAGCACAGGTTGATATGTATATTATTAAATCATTTTTCATTTCTTAGACAATAATTTAAGCTAATAAAACCTTCTCAAAAAAAGGGAAGACTTTTCATGTCTCAGTTCCTTGCCTCGTGTTTCCATGGGCCACACCAGGTTGTACCATGCTGCCACTGCCTTCCAGTCTTACTGTCCAGGCTTTCACGTGACAAGTGATACACTTTCTGGATGTCCCACGCCATTGTTATAAGCCCCATCCATGGACAGCAGTGATGTTTTGACTTTGGTTTTGAGGTTTGCCTGCCTCGATGGACATTATCTAAAGAGTAGGAGCATCATCATTTTGGGTGGTGGGAATGGTGACCTGTGAGCACACAGAGGTCCTGAGGGATCCAGTTACTTCACTCCCGCAACCTCTTACTCTTTCTCCTTCCCCCTCCCCAGGAAGCCAAAAAGAAGTATGACAAAGAGACAGAGAAGTACTGTGGTGTCTTGGAAAAGCACTTGAATTTGTCTTCCAAGAAAAAGGAAGCCCAGCTGCAGGAGGTGAGAAGCCACAGAGCTCCTGCATGGTGTTAGTTTTTGTGTGGTGCTGTGGATAGAAGCCCATTGCTGTGTGTGAGCCAGTACCTGGGTTGGAGGAGACCCGAGAAATGGGGCTCCAGGTGAAGCCTCCTCCAGGGCCATGCCCTCCTTGTCCCACTTCCTTGCTCTGTAACCTGCTAGTGGCAGGAACAGTGCTGCCCACTACCTTCTCGTGGGCTGTGCCTCTTCATCTCCAGCTCGGCTCTGCTTGCTGCTTCTCTTACCCTTGGCCTTAATGCTGCATTTCGCCCACCTGACCTCCTGCCTTGTATTAGTGCCTTACGAGACTGGCGTCTGAAATACTTGGGTTTTCTTATCGTTCCTTAATAGTAGCTTTTAATTATTTCAGTGCAGCATTTGATACTTTTCCATGTTTTTATTTGTAATAATATATTACTGTCATCCATGTATTTTGAATGTTGTTAATCTTTTTTTATTAAAATAGTCTTTGATTGGGCATGGTGGCAGAAACCTGTAATGCCAGCACTGTAGGCCAAGAAGGAGGACTGTGAGTTCAAGGCTGGCCTGGGCTGCGAGAGAGACCCTGTCTCAAAAAAACAAGGGTTGGGGTGTAATCTTAATGCCAGAGTGTACCACCCACCACAAAAATAAAGTTCTCTGACATGCTCCTAGTTTTCTGGGATATGGCTTTAAAAGAACATCATTGGAAGTTCTTTCAAACACTAGTTAATTCTGATCAAAGATCAATGTGGTATGCACAAAGCTGCCACCATCTTTCACTGTTTTCATAGCTTTTTAGTTTGGGGGAAAGCCATGAAAGGGCAGCAGTGTGGAATGCTGCTGCCACCTAGTGGATGATGATATTTTAAAGAGTGGTGTGTTCTTCAATGCCTATGAAGTTTGCACCCCAAATCATATTTGTTCCTTCGGCTAATACTCCCTGGCTACGTCTGTGGATGTCTGTTGAGGGCATGGGTGTTTAGTGAGAGTGAGACAAAGGATCTGCTCTTGTGGAACTTAAAGTTCTGGAGTATGTCTCCCAAGAAACACAAAATAATTGCTTGATAGGTCAAGTGTATGCATGTGTGCACATGCATGCATATGTGTTTGTGTGTGTGTGTGTGTGTGTGTGTGTATCTGTAAACATAGTGTTTGGAATAGTGTTCAGTAGCTTACCATTTTTCTTTGGTATGATGAAGATTTGATTTCTTTTAAAAATTTACTTCCACATATTTTCTCCTTGCTTAGTGTATTCCTTAGTTAATAGCTTGTTCTCTCTGTTAAATTCTGTCTTGTTTGCAGGCAGACAGCCAAGTGGACCTGGTTCGGCAGCATTTTTATGAAGTGTCCCTGGAGTATGTCTTTAAGGTGCAGGAAGTCCAAGAGAGAAAGATGTTTGAGTTTGTGGAGCCTGTGAGTAGCTGTTTGCTTCCATCTGAACCACCAAAAAGCACAGCACAAATTCTGTTGTTCTTAGTAAACTCCCAGAGTCAGATATTAGAGGGCGAAAGCTGAGAGGTCAGAGGAGCAGAGCGTCCAGCCATTGGAGAGACCTTTTACCTCTACCGGATCCTTAGACTGAAGGAGAGATCCTGTCTCTCCTAATGCTCAGAATGCATGCTCGGATTGCATCTGCAGACTGCACTGTCTCCATTAAACCTCAGATTGCAATGAGCTCCTCTCTCTTCCTGCCTTACATTCCTCTCTCTGCCACGAAAGAGTGCCACACAGGAAAAAGTCTGACCTGATGGTTGTACCGTCTTGTTAGAGTTCCATTCATCTGGTGCCGCTCCACCTACTGTGACACCTGAGCAAGGACTCCACATTTAGGGAGCCATGAAGGTGGGGAAAGAGATACGGGAAGGGACAGGGAAGAGGTTTGGAGGGGAGGGGTAGAGAGAGAATGGATTTTGTCAAAATGCATTCCTGTATGAAGAGTTCTTTAAAAAATATTTAGCCATAAAAAGACCTTTCTACATTTAAAAAATAGTGTTCTTAAGCAGAAAATTCTTGCTTTTGATGAGTATTATTCCAGCTGGCCCATCTGACTTTGGAGTTGGTCTTTCAGTAGGCACCCTTAACAAGTAAGATATCACACCTGTTAGTTTGGGTTGAATGACAGCCACGAAACCTACCCAACAAATACCCAACAGATGTTTACTTCTGACATGTTTGTCAGGTCTGGCTACACAGGTAGGTGTGGCTGGGCTCGTTTTCCTGGGTTTTCTTCTTCTCTCTTTAGTCCTTCCTCCTCCTCCTCTTCATCACCACCATTATATTTCTGTTAATAAATTCCTAGAGGCAATTCCAGATGTGCTGCATACTAGCTGAGACCTTGTACAAGGTTACATCTCAGTGTTCCTGCTTCTTCATTTGAAAACAAGGATAGAACCAGCGCACCCCTCCCAGCCGTTTTAAAAACTGAATCGTGTAACGGAGGTGAGGAAGGAAAAGCATGGGCTTCCTTCATGTTGTCCTTGCGTAAATACAGTTTGAACAGCACTGTGCAGGAGACACCCCTGGGGGCTCCCTTAACTGTTAGCATTGGGCTAGAGAAGGGTGATCTGAACCTCTACCACTTTGAGAGCCACTTTGAGCATTGTGATGGCCTGGTTCTTCACCGCGGAATAGCGTCTGGTTTATTCAGGCAGAAAGGAAACCACGAGAACCCATTGAGTGAGATTTCTGGGCACACAGATGCTGGTTACCAAAGCTGCAGATGGTGGGGTGTCTGAAGCTCAGATAAAAGTGCTTCCAGTAGGCCGGCTTTCCGTGAAAGTGCTTCCGGAGAGAGGACGTCTAGGGGAGGTGTTGGCAGAGCCACGCTTCCTCAGAAGCCTACAGACAACGTGTCTTTCCTTTCTTCTCCTAACTCTATCAATTTTCCCACAACCCTTGTCATTCCATGACTTAGAAAGACCTCCCAGTGCTGGACTGGAAGCATCTCTTTGTGACAGGTCCTTGAGCCTCCTGTGGAAGGGGATAGAGGGAGATGGCAGTGGAGAAGTAAAGATGCTGTGAGGGGAGAAGGAAGGGCCCAAGAGAACAGCACACAAGTAAGTGTTTCCTATAGAAATGAGACCAAAGGAAGTGAGAACCAATATAAACCTTAGCAATCACCCTCTCTTCTGCCTCCATAGGACAAGTGAGGTCTTGTTTACTTTTAGTGAAGGGAAGGCTGAGCTCATAGCATCGGCTTTAGGTTCAGTTGCCTATCTTGGGCATTTCTCTTAAAAAGCAGGTGCATAAGGGCCAGAGAGATGGCTCAGCAGTTAAGAAAGCCGACTGCTCTTCCAGGGGACCCAGGTTCAAAGCTGGACCCATGTAGAGGCACACTGCCATCTGTAATTCTGATTTCAGGGAATCTTCTGCCCTCTTGTGGCCTCTCTGGGTACTGCATGTACATGATAAATGTACATACAGGCAAAAAAACCTATATACACAAAACAACAACAACAACATAATAATAATAATAATAAATGTTAGCGGAAATAAAATTCTTAGTGCTTTGAAGAAGTGCTGGAACCCAGAATTTCAGTTGTACCTGCAGGGAGAAGGAAGAGAAAAGATCAGCCTTTACTGGGGCTACCTAGACTTCAGAGTAGCCCTTCTCCTCTATTTCTGGAGTTGTTTAGAAGGAGAGGGATATGCATCTTGCTCTCAGGAAGCAGTTGCATAGAGGGAGTCCTAAGGCCTTTGCCTTCTCTGAAGAGAAGAGTTCCGTACTGGCCGTCTGTACTGTAAGGCCCTAAATACTTACTGACTTACCTAACTAGATGTTTGACGGACAGAGGACCCAGCAATGCCTACTTGCCGACCTCCCATGAGAGTGTAAAGGGACAGAGCAGAGGGAGGTCAAGCTACCATTTTAGTATAGTGTCGGTTTTGTACGACCTCTGAAGTTGCTGGGGACAGAGCCTGGATCCTGGTAGCTGTAACAGGTAGGTCTGCTGACCCATCCTCAGTGTGGCAATTACAGCAAAGGTGATTGTGAAAAGCAGAGAAAGGAGGTTTAATCAGTGTGGCCACACTGTAAAAAAGAACAAATGAAGAGTTCTACTGAACCCGCCTCCCCACATCCATCTTGAGGTCGTGGTATAAGGTTTAAACAGAAGGTCAGAGGTATGCCTGACTCAGTATTCCTGGTCAAGGTGCCATCCTGCCTATAACTGTCTCAGCTCCAGTTTGTTCCACAAGGTGATTGGACAGCTTGTGTAAAATCTCTTCTCACAAAAAAGTCTGTCCTCCGGCCAGCCCCAGGTGTCAGAGACACCCTTTCCTTCTCCTAGCCTGAGAGTCCCAAGGAAAGTTGGTCTCAGTAGTCTGGTCGCCAAAGGCAGGCACACAAGTGGCTCTTCTAGAATATGCTCGTTCCTACCACCGTGGTTACGCCATACAAAGTTCTTATGGGCTTAGTATGTGGTTCATCCTGTCGGGGCACCCCTCCTCTGGCGCTAATCACTCTCGTCAGACGCAACTGCAAAGTGCGGAGTGAAATCCTTCACAGGCGCCAGTGGAGCTGCCAGCCTGAAAAGCGGAGCCGGTGAAAAGAAGTACAGATGTGTTTGCGGAGGGGCTGGAAAGCTAAATGCCACAACACGAAGGGAAACAGATGCGTTTCCCATAACGGATGGTGGTGGGGTCTGGAGTTCAGAGTGGACCTCTCAGCAAGCAGCTGTGGTCTCAGGTCCTTCCCAGCCTTGTGCTACCTTTCACTCTTGCCCCTTCTTCATGTTAACACTGCGCTTGCAGGCAGTCTGGGGAGGACTTGGGAAGGGCCTGGGAGGTTCCTATGTCAGCACTGTAGAGAAACACACAGGAATGTTGTGGGTGGGGCATAGGGCAGTTGTTGAGAATGTGAAGGTGTTGTGTGAGAAACTGCAGTGAACAGGTGTTTCCATCACTTTGCGTGGCAGAGACTAGACCTTGAATGCACTCACCTATTAGCCTTAAAGGATTTAAACGGGAGTCAAGGGACCTAGCATAATTGAAGGCAGGGTGGTGTGTGGTCTCATCATAAAGGGGCTTTTAGTGTTAACTGCAGGGAAGTTGAAGAAAGCCCAGAAGTGCGCCTAGGTGTAAGTCTATTCTGGATGGCTTCCTGTGATTTGACTCTGCTGGCTAGATTACAGGTGCAGAGCTCACCAGCTTCCTTAACAAGTTCTGAGTCCGTGTGACAACCTGGTGTTATGACTGTTGAGCAGCTCAGGTGCAGCTTCAGCCTGTAGTTCTGAAGAGGCGATGTTCTTAGGCAATGGTAAGCATTGGGACCAAGGAACAGGTTTTGAATCCTGACTGACACTCACCATGAAGTAGGGGACAAGTTGTTTAGCCTCCAGAGGTGCCTCTTCATTATTTAACCGGGTCCTTTTAACATTGAAGTCCTAGGTGGTGTGAGCACTCAGTGATGCAGGACGTGGGAGGACACAGCATCCCACCCACAGAGTTGCTCAGTGTGTGTTAGTTGACATTCCTGCCTGTTGTATGCTTCTCAGACAGATGGTGCTGGAAACTCAGATCTTGCTACTGTTTTTCTTCTCAGCCGGCCTGTGTGACCTCTGCCTTTCTTCCCTCTCGACAGCTCCTGGCCTTCCTGCAAGGACTCTTCACTTTCTATCACCATGGTTATGAGCTGGCCAAGGATTTTGGTGACTTTAAGACACAGTTGACCATCAGCATACAAAATGTGAGTGGGGGCAGGGACCAGAGAGGGAAAGGAGAGGGTGTGTTTGCTCCAGAGTTTCTCCTCTTGCATTGGAATGAGGTGTGTGAGTTGAGTTCCTGACTAGGCTCAGAGGATGACAGTGGGGATCGATTGTTTCTAGAATGCAAGATGGCCCAGGTCTAAGCACCATTTCTCTTCCTGGAAGTGTTGCTGCTGGTTTTGTGTGTTTTTTCACAACATTGTCAGGATTTCCTTGGCAGTAGAAATCCCAGTTTAACCCAGGCCAGACTAACTGCCTTCTATGCAACCAGCTGCCTGGCCTCCTGAGGCCTCGCTGAGTGTCCGGGGGCGGGAACTCAAATGGTGTGCTCTTGCTGGGCTCTGAGGCCTCGCGTGAGTGTCCGGGGGCGGGAACTCAAATGGTGTGCTCTTGCTGGGCTCTGAGCAAGATTAAGAGCTAAGTCCTTGTCATCTAAATACACAGCTGCCTCTCTGGCTTAAACCTGGGACTCCGGGTGTGCAGAGTTGTTTATGGTATTTGGGGCATAAGTCATAAGGCCAGCTCTCCTTTCACTTTGGGATCAGCCATGAGTCCCAAGGCACTCCTGTGTAGGACCTAGGTCCAGGTATTTCCGCATGGCTTGTCCTGCATGGCCTTTGGAAGTTTGGACCTTACAACAAGGTGGTTCCTTGTTGACTGGGAGATCAGGAAGTCGAGGACTATGTCAGAAATGGTTTTTACAAAGCATGGTTTCATATATATATATATATATATATATATATATATATATATATATATATTCATTCATTCTTTGGATGAAACGCAAGTTTTCATACATGCTAGGCAAGCTTCACCCCAGTCTGAAGGCGCACTTTGAAAGAGGGATTCATGGACAATAATAACTCAGCGCCTCTGAGAGACTGAGCAAGATGCAGCTGGAGGTTTTAGACTGTGCCTCAGGGGTTCCGAGCGGGCCTCAGTAGAGGCCAGGTGTTTCAGACTGCTCTGTGTGAAGGGATGATGTAGAAAGCACCCCTTTTAGGAGGATGCCACCTGTGAGCCATCAGCAAGCTACATTTCTTGCAACTGGAGTAGTGAGGACCGTAATCCTAAAGGTGTACAAGCAGTTCTGCTATTCCGGACTGCTTATTTAAACACCCTCTACTGGCTCCAAGAGTTGCCACACACGCTTGAGGAGTTAGGTTGGGTGTTCGCATGCTTCCTCGGAGATCTTGGTGGTTGCTAGAGTTTGAGTCCTTCAGGTATGGGACTGTAAGGCAAAGATGTACTTTTGAAGTGAATATTTTCCCATTTCCTAGACCATTGAATGCCCCTTACTTACTTTTACATCTAAGCTTTCTGTTTAGGCAGATATTCCGAACTATTATCATTTTTTTTTCTGCATTTGATCCTTTGAACAAAATTCCTTCGTTCCAGACAAGAAACCGCTTCGAAGGAACCAGGTCTGAAGTGGAATTGCTGATGAAGAAGATGAAGGAAAACCCCCTCGAGCACAAGACCATCAGCCCCTACACCATGGAAGGGTACCTCTACGTGCAGGAGAAACGTGAGTGCGCTGACTGGCAGGACGGGGTGCACTCGCAGCCTTGGGCAGGCATTGCTTCTGTTGGTGCCCATGGGTCTGTGTCCACAGTCTTTCCCACCTCCAGGTGATGTGTTCTGTTCCCTCTCTGCTAGGATTTCTCCCCGAGACTCTGTGGTAGATAGTTCCTTTCTTCCTAGCATCCCTCTCCTTTTGAACCTCCATGTCTTAGGGTGCTTATGCACCCCACCCCAACCACATGGGCATAGGAAAGTCTTACAGACCACATTCCCTTGAGTGTCTTAGAATTTGGTGATTCTACTTTCAGTTGAGAGTTATCATGGCTTGGGCCCTTTTGCTTTCCTTCTCAACTTCTGTGATTCTAATACTTGGATTTTACAGAAAGTCAAAACAAAGAGGAGAGTCAGGAAGAAGACCCATCTCCTTGTAATGCAGTCAAGGGAAGAAATGCCAGGAGCTGCTCCTTAAATGCAGTTTTTCGGGAGGACTCACACACATACCTTAGGTCCTGGGGAAGGCTTAGAGGGTACGCACCCAGGGTGGCACCTCCAGGCTCCAGGAAGAAGACCCTGAAAGCTTTTGCATTTAATGTTTGTTCTATGAGCAGGCACCCAGTCCTCCTTAACAGGATCTTGCTAAGTAGTCCAGACTGACCATGAACTCATGATCCTTGACTTTTCCTTCTGAGTTCCAGAGTCACACACCTGTATGCCAGCATGCTTTCTTCGCAGGACGCGGGACTCGTGCACCGTGCTGGTGTGTGTTCTTCTCTGTGGTCCTCTCCGTCAGTGACTTCACTCCTGAGAGCCCCCGGTGGAGTAGGATAGAAACACTTTGTTCTCGTGATTATATACTCAGTACTAATGCTCACACATAATTGCTCAGCCTTACAATTGTTCCCTTCTGACACTAGAGACTGAAGTGGGGTTGGAAGTATTAGCTACAGTAAGGGTTTTACATTCTGTATTCTTTGAGGAATGAACTTGGAGGGGGTTTATGGGAAGTGGAAGCCACTTCATTGGTGTGCTTCATTCCCTGAGTATTCCCTCACCCCATCCCACTGCCATGGCTGGAGGTGACTTAGAGAAGCAGACTCCAGGAAGGCGAGGGTTCTTCCTGTGCCTGCGGGGTCACTTTTGCTCTCTCCTACTCACACTGCATGGCACAGCTCTAGTCACACATTTCACGCACTCCTAACACTAATACGCCGCTTCTTGTTAGAACCACCTTTTGGTTTTCTGGCACACCACTTCAAGCGTTTCATTAGGATGCTGTATAGTTTTGGAACTTACTATTTTTAATAATTTCCAAGCTTACAGGAAAGTTGCAAGAATGGTATGAAGAAAGCATGAATTCAGACCCACGGTTTCTCAACGCTTTGCTCTGATCGCCCCTCCTGTTTTCAGTGTTTGGCTGTGGATATGTGCACTCCGCATACACACTCCGTTTCTCCCGAGCTCTACTGCTCCAAGCTCTAATGCTCCATCACGGTGCCCTTTGGTCCCTGATGTCTTCGTTTTCATCATCCAGTCAAGACATTGTGTTGTCTCTCCTCTGATGGCCGCTGCTTTCCCTTTGTAACTAACCAGCATTCTGTGGGAGGCACCTGACAATTACGTAAATAGCTTTCTCTTCGCCATGTTTCTCCTAGAGCTGCGACCTATTGATCCTTGACTGCCTGATCTGTACTGTGATGGAGATTTCCCCCCTTTACCAGAGTTGCCACAGTTACTGTTTCTTTTCGCCCACCCTCCATATCTGTCCATCTTCCCACCTGTCAGAACATCTGTCCCTCCCTATCTTTCCATTGTCAATAAAGCCTTAAGATTCATGCTCCCCTCACAGGCTCTAATCTATTACTTTATATACCTTGGCATCCACATTGTTTAAGACAAAGCACTGGAACTTCCCCCAAGCTCTGAGAATGTTTGGTTTTTAAATTGCCTTTAATGATTAATGTATTGCTGTGTATACATGTTTGTGTGTGTGCCTGTGTGTGTGTGAGTGGGAGAGACAGAAACAGGAGTGAGACGGAAGACAGGGAATGCATATATATATATATATATATATATATATATATATATATATATGAGTGTGTATGTGTGTGTGTGTTCTTGTGGGTATACATGTGTGCCTGTGTATGTAATTGCCAGAGATTAACATCAGGTATTTTTCCTTAGGTGATATTCACCTTGTTTTTTTGGACAAATTTCTCATTGGTCTGAAATTCACTGAGTAGGCAAGGCAGACGAGCCAGGAAGTCCCAAGGATCTGTCCAACTCCCCCTCTCCAACTGTACATTAATGAACCTGGCTTTCTTTAAAAGAATTAATTCTAAATTAATTGATTAATTAGTTAGTTAATTTTTACATGGGTTTTGAAGACCTGATTTAGGTCCTCATGTTTGTAGCGCTTTATTAACCAAACTGTCTCTAGCCCCTCTGTTGCTTTTCGAGGTTATTAAATGATATCCAATACTTATATTTGGCAATCATACCAAACCATTAGTAATTGCTAAGCGGCTGCTGACTCTCTTTACATGGTGTTGTTAAGTTTGACCATTTCTATTGTATGAGCGCTGTAAACATCTAAAACTAATATTGATTGAAGGCCTTGCAGGCTGGTAATGCCTTCTTCCTAGCACTTTGTTGTTAAAAATAAAGTAACTGGCCAGGTCCCCGGTACTGTCAGACACTTTGGTGGGCCTGGGCTCTGTGGTGTCGCCCTCTTTCCTGGGGAGAATTTTGTGACAGACTCCTTAGATGCCATCTAGGCATTTAGTCACTTCCAGTCTGCGTCTCTGGTGTCTCTGAGGTTTCCATGTCTGCTTTCAGATCTTTTTGGGTTCTGCTAAAGTAAAAATTAGGGGTTTGGAAGTAGGTCAGAACCCCCGAGGTTAGTCACCGGGCAGCCGTGTGGGAGGCACGATGACATTGCCCAGATGGAAATGGTGACTGACACGTAGAAGAGGCCTCTGTGCTCCTTCCTCAGTCGCCTCAGTCAGTGGAGATGGATGATGGGAACCAGTATTTCCCCTGTATTTGAAGACCCACTGGATGTAGCGTTAGTGGGAGGTAGAGACCTTGTATATCTGGGTGGGGAAAACATTGTTTGGTTTTGCTTTCAGCCCCTGGGGTCAGATTTCTGTCAGCCTAGCTGTCTAGAGACTATATTACCCCTTAGACAACCTCAGGGTGGAGGAGATCATTTTGCCTGAGTTCCTGAGCGTTGTGACCCATGTCTGTTCTGACAGCTAATGGTGTGCCGCACACAGTGGATGCGCTAAGATGGCTAATAGGCAACATTCCCTTGCAGGTCACTTTGGAACTTCCTGGGTGAAGCACTACTGTACCTACCAACGGGATTCCAAACAGATCACCATGGTCCCATTTGACCAAAAGTCAGGAGGAAAGGGGGTGAGTTCACTGTGGCAGTTTCTTGTTTGGTTTGCTTGGCTGACAGGTAATGCTCACAATACACGCCTCCAAGTCCAGAGTTGTGCTGAAAAGCTCCTTAATTCTGCAGTAGTTCCAGGAGGCTCCTTTCCCTGAAAATGCTTAGAATAATCACTGTTAGCATTACTAACTGTAACGAGGACTCTTGTTTTACGTGTGTACACTGTGACCTATGTCAGATATCAGTGAGTTACTAGAAAGTCATGGTTGATTGGCATCATCCTGTGAAACTGATCCCTATCTCTCCTGCTTGATCCCCAGAGCTGCCAGTGGGCAGTTTAGATGAATCCGTTATTAATTTCTGTGTAATAAGTTACCTCTAAACCTTGCAGCTTTTAAATTCATGCCAGCTGTCTTAATATTTGCATTCTCAATATTCTTTGTGGACCAGGAATTTGGGGAGCATTTGATGGGTAGGAGGCTGAGGCTCAGTTTGCTCCAGTAGTAGCTGGGACAGAAGCAGTGCCGATCGGGGGGAGCTCAAGGCTGGCCAGACCCAGCTCTCTTCATCCTCCAGCTTTCTCTCTCCGTCCTCCATTTCCCCTCCGTCTCTGTGGTCTTGGACTCTGAGGGGTGGTAGATACCCTGTGGCTGTGTTTCAGAAGGGAAAGGTCGCTAGCACTGCTACTGGGTTCTCCTTGTGTTCTCCAGGGTTCTGCCTCCTGCATGCCTCCAGACAGTTGTCTCTGCTCGCCACCCTCAGCAGTCGGGTCCTCCCCACAGAGATGATGTGTGTCACTCCTGAGCCGCCTTCCTACCTTCTCTCCCCTCAGCACTCTGTGTTTCATCATGTCCTAGGATGGAACTTTTTTTTTTTAAAAAAAAGTTTATTGTTTAGAAATTATTGGCCACCTTGGATTTAAGGGTTTACCTTAATTCAGAACTGAAAAAAAATTCGCCAGTTACCAACTTTGAATATTGCCTCTCTCTAATTATTGCTATTATTCCCTTGTGAGTATATTTAACTGTTTTAATAAGAACATAGTTTTCATCTTCTGTCAATCCCTTTCCGTAAGACAGAGTCTCACTGTGTAACCTAGGCTAACTTGGAACTCATGTGTAGTCAGGCTGACCTCCAGCCCTTGTGGTTCTTTCGCCTCTGCCTCCATTCTCAGCCTGAATGTTTTTAATCTTTTTGAATATCTGGAATATATTTTGAGTCATTTCTCTGGTTCTATCTTTGGTTTAAATATTTTTTTTCAGTTGTGTCTAATATTTTGGTAAGTTAGTTTTTTGCTAGCCCTCACGCTGGCCTTCTATGGACATTTTTGTGTGCCATGTTGAGTTAATGTTGGAGAGCATTCAAGCGCACAAGTAGGAGAGCACAGAGACTGGGCATGCCTGGGCCAGGCCTGTGCTGTGCTCTTTGCTCTTCACCTCCAGCTTTTCTTCCTGGATCTCTTACTTGAGTGACAATGAAGAGTTTTATCAGCATCTCTGTTCCTTCCTTGTATTCAAGCAGTAAGAAAGCCCTTTTAATTATCTTTCTTCCTTCCTTCCTTCCTTTCTTTCTTTCTTCCTTTATTCCTTTCTTCTTTTCTTTCATTGTTTGTTTGTTTCTTTCTTTCTTTTAAGCAGAGGTGGTATTGATTTACAAATAATCTCAGGAAAACACATATGTTAATAGAGTTAGAAGAGAATATTACAAATTATACTTAAGTTACTGCATGTCCCCTAGCTTTCATAGAAGCAAGCCCTCCTTACTTGGAATGGGTCACAGTCCTTTTCTTCCTATTGCACGTCCTAGAAACCAGCTGACTACATTATTCCTCTCCACAGGCTTTGCTTCAGGACTTCTTACATGTCTCCCAGTCTTTAATGAACTCAGTTGTATTTTGCAGTTCCTTTCTTATCCTCGTCAGTAAAGGGTGGAGATCCATACAGTGGTCGGTGTTTGGGTTTCAAGGACTTCTGCAAGATCCCATCGAGTACCTCAGGGGGTTGTTGTGCTCGTGCGTGTCAGGCAGAGCCTGAGAAGGGTCTCCTTAAGGAACTTGTTGCTTGAAGAAGTCATTTTCCAAACCATAACTGTTGCATTTATGCTCTCCTTTGTCGTGGTCTTTACTCTCATTATGCTGTGTTGTGCCATTTGATCTGGCTTTCCTTTGTCACTAAGGAAGAAATTGGGGATCAGAGAGATCAATTTACTTCTAAGTTTATATACCTGAGTTTCAGAGTGAGTATACTAAACTCTCAGTCTGGAGTTAGGACCTCCTGCTTCTGAAGCCGAATCTTTTCATGATGCCACCATTCTCTAAGTTTTCTAGTGAAGGCAAAGGAGAGGATGTTCTCACAGTTGGGACAGAGAAGTCATGTGATGTGTTAGTACTGTTGTTTGTCCCCAGTGTAGTGAGTATGGTGTCCTCCTACACCCAACATGATTCATCCCCAGTCTTTGTTGCCTATGAGCTTCTACCCATACCTGCTTCCCTTTGTTCCTCCCAGTCTCCCTGGACCCTGACTACAGAGCCTTTTCATCTGCTGACAAAAGCCACTTAAAGAAGGAAGGGTTTATTTTAGCTTATGGTTCAGGAGATCCATCCCACCATAGCAGGGGATGCATGCCAGCAGAAGTGGGAGGTGCCACGTCTACTGTACCCATAGTTAAGAAGCAGGTAGCTGTAAATGGAGACTGTGTTCGTTTTCCACGTTCAGACCCAAATAAGCAACAGAAACTATCTCAATTACAACAATTTGACCAATGGCTCAGACATATTTCTGGCTAGCTCTTATATTTAAATTAATCCATTTATATTATTTTATGTATCACCATGAGGCTGTGGCCTCCCAGTGAGGTTCTGGCATCTTTCTCCTTCAGCAGCTAAATGACATCTGCCTGACTCTGACTTCTTTCCTTCTCTATCTCTGCTTGGATTTCCTGCCTTGCTATGTTCTGCTTCGCCATAGGCCAAAGCAGGTTCTTTATTAACCAATGATAATAAAACATATTCACAGCATACATAGGGAATCCTACATCAGGAAGCCCCAAATGCTGATGGTCAGTTTTCTTTTTCTCCTCCTCCTCCTCCTTCTTCTCCCTTCTTCCTCCTTTTTCTTCCTTCCTCTCTTTTTTTTTTTTTATTCTGCAGAGACTTTAGCCCATGGAATGGTACTGTCTCTATTTACGGTGGGTCGCCCCACTTACTTAATCAAGTTAATCCCTCAAGGGCATGCTCAGAGGATTCTAGATCCTGTCAAGTTGACAGTCTTAACCATTATACCAGAGTTATAATGTTTTAAAGTGATTAAATTTCTTGCATTTTAACATTGTAAGTAGCTCAGCAGATAATCTTTACAGTTTTTTGCCTTGCCTCCTCAAAACAAAATCTTATGGTCCTCTTTTTAAAATAGGTTTTAATTTTAAAGACAAGGTCTCCTTCTGTAGCCCTGACTGACCTGGAACTTGATAAGAAGAAGAGGTTCCCAATTCCCAGAGGTCAGCCTGCCTCTACCTCCTGAGTGCTGACATTAAAGGTGTGCTCCACTGTGCCCGGCTCTTCTTCCTTTTGTGCTTATGTATGATGGTCCCTTATAGATGTCACTCACAGATTTTTTTCATGGCATTTCATCTATGCTTTCATTATAGAAGCTGGCCATAGCTATTAAATCTGAACTCTAGTTGAGTTTCAACAAGTCAGATTTCTTATGTTTGACTGAGTATGCTTATCAAAGGACTGACTTAGAATTATTTATTTGAAAGATATCAATTGGCTATGTTTTCAGTTCTAGAATCAGGTATCACTATCACATACAGCAGAGCAAGCATTGTGGTAAGGCAAGTGGTAGAAATTAGTTTTAAGGCAGAGGAAGGCTGAAGAATTCAGAAACAGAATAAAGTAATTGGTTATTTCAAACTGATTTTCACTGGTCTGGGAGTATAGGTCAGGGCTATAGTATAGAGCTCTTGCCTAGTGTGGAGCAGGCTGCATGTTTGATCCTCAACATGGCAAACAGTGAAAACATGAATTTATAATTTTTGTAAAGTGGGGACAGGAGAGTGAACAGTGGAATATTAAGTAGTTGGTTAACAACAGGCAAATTTAGGGCTCTCTCTCTCTCTCTCTCTCTCTCCATTTTATTTAACTTTACTTTATGTACATTGATGTGAAGATCCCCCTGGAACTGGAGTTTTAGACAGTAGTGAGCTGCCATGTGGGTGTTGGGAATTGAACCCAGGACCTCTGGAAGAGCTGCCAGTGCTTTTAACTGTTGAGCTATCTCTCTAGCCACTTCTGGTTTCTTGGGAAATCAGATTAAAAAAGAAGAAGAAGCAATACAGTTTATCATATGCTGTATATCAATAAAACTGTTATATGTTGGACACTGCTTCTATCCAAGACTTAGGTGGGCTCAGAAGATACAAGAGTAGTAAGCAAAGACCACAAATCTCTGTCCTTAGGGTGTTTACAGTCTGGTAAACTTCCCATGAGATTTGATGGGAAGTCATCATTTTATTCCTCATCTTCTTTAGCAGATAGTTTGATAGTTTCTGCTGTGATTGGTACTATGGGGATGGAGAGGTAATAGTACCTTGTGAGCACAGCTTAGGGATCTTTGTCCTGTTTCAGAAAGGTGTTCTTGAAGTAGTAATAATTAACACAAGGTCATAGATGCTCAGTTAGGAGGGAACTGTTGTCTTCAACTCTGGTCATGCTCCACCTGAAGTAACTACGTATTAGGGTGTCCAGATCTTAGCTGTAGAAGATTCTTGCTTGAGAAGCTCTGTGGTCAGTCTTCGTCTCAGCAGGTTGTGAACACACAGATTTGAGAAGCTGAAGTGAGATCCTGTTCATGTGCTGTGTTTGTCCTAGAGGGAAGCAGAGCCTGCCTTCTGGCCTGACCTGACAGTCTGTGTCTTCTCCCTAGGGAGAAGATGAGTCCATCACCCTCAAATCCTGCACTCGGCGGAAGACAGACTCCATCGAGAAGAGATTTTGCTTTGACGTGGAAGCAGTAGACAGGTGAGGCTGAGGCATTCTTCTCAGGAACAGATCCTTGCTATATTTGGATTTCTTTCCTTTCCTTTCAGTTACAGCATTTCTATCCCTGTCCCCCATCTCATTCTTCTGTGTCCAGTTTGAACCGGATGCTAGGTCATTGCGGAAGGTCAGTTCAGCCTCCCATTGTTTAGCTCAGGACTGAATCACTAGGTTTGTTTGGTTTTACTTTAATGCTAGTGCTTCCACGCTCAGGAATGTGTGCTATGTCTCTAGGAGGTACGGTCGGTATTTAAAGAAGATAGTCTCTTTAACCTGATTGTAGCTGGTGCATGGTGGATTTTTCCTTAAAAATTACCGCAATGATTTAATAAGAGTTGGGGTGGAAAGAATTTTACTCAAATAATTTTTAAGACTTGTAATTATTTGATGTACACTCAGGAATGACAAGTCACTTGCTTAATCAGTCCATAGATAGATAGGTAGGTAGGTAGATGGATGGATGGATGGATAGATAGATAGTTGGATAGAAAGAAGAAAGAAAGAAAAAGATAGATGCATAAAATGGTAGATGGTTACAAAGAAGAAAAATAAGTAGAAAGATAGATGGATAGAAAGAAAGAAGCAAGATAAATAAGTAGATAGATAGGTAGGTAAATAGATGTATAGATAAAAGGAAGATAGATATGAATACAAAGATAGATGAATGGATAGAAAAATGAAAGATAAGTAGACAGACAGACGGATGGAAGAATAGATAACGTGCTGTTTTCCTTGAGATCTAAATGTCTCTCACTCAGGTCCACCATCCTATGGTACTTGACTTATTTAACGGAATTACAGTTCTTTAAGACACTTTCCTTGGCCGTGGGTTCTTTCAGTGAAATCCACGTGGGGCTGCCTGTTTCAAGTCAGCAGTGTTAGTACCAGGGCCTTTAAACCTCACTGCCATACCCAGGCAATACCAGGTAAGCTCCTTATTTTTTTAAATGCCACAGCATTTCACAAAGGTCCATGATGCTTCCGGGAGCTAAAGTGTTTTCCATATCTTCAGAGGACTTCCTGGGAATAGTCAAAGCTCTCTGTGGTGCCTCCATCTCATGTCAACTCTTGATAACACATCCTCAAGTTTTCCTACTTTTATCATACTCATAAAACCTTTGCAAGCCAGGCATGGGGTGCCCACCTATAATACCGCCTCTTCAGAAGATGATGCTGGAGGATTACCAAGCACAGGAACTCAAGACCAGCCTGCGTTATTATTAAGACTCTGCCTCAAAAACAGAAATAGGAGGGAGGGGGCTTTGCGGGCTAAAATTGTAAGCCAAGAGTAAATATTTCATACTTAGCATACAGAGTAGACCTAGGGAGCCATTTCTCCTGGGAACCTATCTGATTCCTCAATGGCTCGATGCAGATGGTCCAAAATGAGGACATTGAGGAGCAGGTAGATTGGTAGGAATAGGTCCAAAATGAGACTGTTGCCTCTCCCCTGAGGAGCAGTGTGGATTGGTAGGAACAGGAAGTCTTCCAGTGCTCCCTGGACCTTATGGATTAGGCATAATTCACCATAGCTTCTTTTGCCCCTCCTGTTTGACATCAGTTGCTTGTAGATTGCTCATATATGTACAAAGTGAGATTTGAGTGTGTGGGAGGGAGAGTAAAGAACTGTCCACATGACTGCTCCATTATTAGGGGTGATTTTTATTGTAGATATGAGAGAGAGGATGGCCAGAGGCATCTGAAAGAGTCGAGAGCAGAGAGAAGTGGACTGAGCATGGTCAGCAGACTGGGCGTGGCCAGGGCTAGGGAAGTGGAGAAAATGGTAGAGACAGTGAAGCAGCAAGACAGAGAGTAAGGCATTGAGCGAGCAAGGAAATAGTAAGAGATAGTCAGAGATACAGAGACAGAGCAGGAAAGAGTAAGACAGAAACTCCAGAGAATAGTGCTCTAAGGAGGGTGAATAATCCCGGTAGAGACTTTAAAATGTGTAACAGGTACTTGTGATATTAAGGGAGCCTGGGGCTGGCATGGGCTTTGATCTCAACCACAGGTGGCCATTTGTCCTTTCTCCCAGAGGTAAGAAGAAACAATGCCTTTTGGCAGAGGGAACCAGTTTTACAAGTTCCTGAGGAATGCTGGCTTTTATCTAAGCACCAGAAATCCTCCTATAGTTCAGTTTGAGCTCCTTTCTGGATGTTTGGACAGCCAGAGACCTGAAGTAAGAATATTTCTGTGTGCTAAGTGTCTGATGCCCAGTGTTCTCTGCAGTGTAGATTCTTTCTCTGGAGGACTCACACCCTGTCCTTTTCTCCGGTGCCTATCAGCTGGGAGGGGCTGTTGCTGGAGTCTGCTTTTCTAGACAATGCCTCCCTAGATTCGTCTGTCTCACTTGCTGTGCCATAGGGGTAGAGGTCAAAGGGCAAGTTAACTTCTAGGAAATGGATACAAAAGAGGAAACAACAGAAGGACTGAAATGTTCCCAGAGTGTTATGGGTAGATTACACAACTACTACTGCTACATAAAAAGTTACATAGTAGCTGTTAATGTATCCAGAGCCAAGTGTGATTTGCATTGTCGAGACTAGGAAAGAAATGATGTGAAATATACCATGTAATATGTGGTATTAGGGTCTCAGAAGTGGGGTTCGGGTTAAAATGAGGTTGTTAGGGTGGGCCATGTGTTAATGGTTAAATTGTCAGCTCAACACATTCTAGAATCATTGGGGAGAAAGCTTCAGTGAGGGATGGTCTAGATTAGGGTGGCTTATGAGCATGTCTGTGGGGGACTGTCTAGATGCTGTTAATCGATGTGGCAAGAGTCGGCCTCAGAGTGGATTTGGGTCCTTGGCTGTGTAATAAAACCAGAAAGTGAGCTGGGCATAAGCACGCATGCTTTCAGTGCTCTTTGCTGCTTCACTCCGGATGCAATGTCACGACACGAGTTTGTCTAGAGCTGCTGGAGCCGGGACTTCCCTACAAAGGAACGGAACCGGGGGCTATGAGCTGAAATGACTCTCTCAGCCTCCCCCAAGTTGCTTCTGTCCAGGGCATTTTCTCACAACAGCAGGAAAAGAAATGAAGTTGGCCCTGAGTCCCCATAGCTGGCACTCTAGTCAGCAGGGACTCCAGATCCAGAAACAGACACACGTGTAGGGAAATGTCCCATGCATGTGAAGACAGAGCAGGGTGATAGTCTCCAAGTCAAGGAACACTTGACTGTGAGCAATGCACCAGAGAGAGGAGGCATGGAGTAGATTCAATGGGCTTCAGCAGGAATCGACATGGCCAACACCTGCCTTCCCAGTTTGTGGTATTTCATTATAGCGGTGCCAGGGAACTAGCCTAGTATTGAACAGGGAGGACCTGTCAGTAAGGCAGAAGCCCATCCCACCAAGGCCTTTTAAATGGTAGCCAATGTCCACCCCCTGAACTCCACCTCACAAAACAGACCATTTGCATCAATCACCTTACCTTTTCTACTCTCTGCTTTCCCTATTCTCTGTCTTAGGGTTTCTATCGCTGTGACCATGGCAGCTCTTATAAAGGAAAGCATTTAATTGGGGATAGCTTACAGTTCAGATGTTTAGTCCATTATTGTCATGGTGGGACATGGTGGTGTGTAGGCAGACATGGTGCTGGAGAAGGAACTGAAAGTTTTGCATCTTGACCTGCAGGCAGGAAGTGGTCTGAGTGTCACACTGAGCAAAGCTTGAGCAAAGGAGTCCTCAAAGCCCACTCCACAGTGACACACTTCCTACAGCAAGGCCACACCTCATAGGTCACACTCCTGTGACCCAATCACATTTAAATGATCACATCCTCCTTCCAGCTCCTTTTCTCATTCCAGCTCCTTTTCTCCCCTATCCCATCTTTATCCATAGCTTCAGTTTTTAGTAGCTTAAAAAGCCAAAAGCTGCTGGGCAGTGGTGGAACACACCTTTAATCCCAGGACTTGGGAGGCAGAGGTGGGTGGATCTTTATGAGTTCGAGGCCAGTGTGGTCAACAGAGCTAGTTCTAGGACAGCCAGGTTTACACAAAGAAAAACAAACAAACAAAAAACTATTTTTTTTTTTTTGGTTTTTCTATCATTGTGCTACAGACTCAGCTTTTTGAAGGCTGTATTTTATATTGGTAATTGACAGGATTTAACAATTATTTTTATTTGAAGCAGATCAGCTTTTTTGTGAGATTTCAGTGTAAGCTTCTTGGGTTAAAAATGGACATCATGGGAAAGGAGCCTTTCATGGTAGTCATATGTGGATCATTAATACTAACCCGTGTTCGCGTTCAGTCACTTGAATAATTAACTCCGTCATGCATTGTCTTATGAAAATTAGTGGGCAGATGTAGGAAAAATATTTGTTTAAGCTGAAGACTCATAGTGGTAGTCAGTTGCCAGCATCCCTGGATTGGTTTGTTTTAAAGAAATTCCTCACAGATGTGACACATAGATTATTTTTTCCTGAATGTTTTCCATGAGGGGCCAGTAGAACATATGGAAAATAATAGAAATAGAAACTAAAGGCCTTCTGATTGAGCGAATCAGCGTTGTGTGTGTGGGGGCAATGTTTATACTCGGCGAGAGGAAACCATTAGAATGCTTTATTTTTTTCTGAAGATGATCTGACGCCAACAGAAACTCTGTCTGTTCCATGCCCCTCCCCAGTACTGACAAACCGAGAAGTGCAATAAGGACAGCTCCCCAGAGATGCTGGGGCTGTGGGACTACAGCTGGAACCGAGACTGGTTCAGCCTCTAGCTCACCGTCTCCTGTCTCAGCCTCCTGAGAACGTGAGGTCACAGGCCTGTGCCACAGGCCCCGCTTAGACTCTTCTGATAGACATGTAGGAGGCTTTAGAGATCGTTTGGTTTTTCTTCCATAGAGGCCTCTCGTGATTTTCTTTAGTGCATTTGGAAGTTCTGTAAGTGCTGCTCGAACAGTTGTGAGTTCCCTTCCCTCCAGAGCCGTTCTCAGCTCTCACACACCCCCTGGCAATTCTGCCCACTCCTTCCCCACAGC